GTTAGTGTGGCATAGGCCTTGGACCTGTTAGTGGGGCATGGGTTATGGACCTGTTAGTGTGGCATAGGCCTTGGACCTGTTAGTGTGGCATGGGTTATGGGCCTGTTAGTGTGGCATAGGCCTTGGACCTGTTAGTGTGGCATGGTTTATGGACCTGTTAGTGTGGAAGGGCCTTGGACCTGTTAGTGTGGAAGGGCCTTGGACCTGCTAGTGTGGCATGGGCCTTGGCCCTGTTAGTTGTGGCATGGGCCTTGGTCCTGTTAGTTGTGGCATGGGCCTTGGCCCTGTTAGTTGTGGCATGGGCCTTGTCCTGTTAGTTGTGGCATGGGCCTTGGACCTGTTAGTTGTGTCATGGGCCTTGGACCCGTCAGTTGTGGCATGGGCCTTGGACCCGTCAGTTGTGGCATGGGCCTTGGACCTGTCAGTTGTGGCATGGGCCTTGGACCTGTTAGTTGTGACATGGGCCTTGGACCTGTTAGTTGTGGCATGGGCCTTGGACCTGTAAGTTGTGGCATGGGCCTTGGACCTGTAAGTTGTGGCATGGGCCTTGGACCTGTTACTGTGGCATGGGCCTTGGAAGTGCCTTCAGGGTCCAGAATTAATATGATTGATTCAGGGTAAACTGCAGTTATCAGAAGGAGCTTAGATACATCCACGGTTGAACCAGAAAAGCCATTTAATGTAACGCGCGCACTTCTGAGCTATAGAAATGTGTGCCCTTGGTGGTTATTTTTCTTCAAAGTATGCAAACAAGTTCCCCTGAGCTGTTAAACGAAGTAGAAGAAAATAAATTCCCTTTTTTTTGTACAACCGGTGTCCTACTTACAACTGCCTCCCGCTCAGCCAGATTTCCAGCGTATTCCATTTAATCGGAATCAGCCCCTGATGTGAAAATGGAATAATTGGGATTATCCGCTGGTCAGAGAGCAACTAAAAAAAAACAAAAACATATTGGTTTTGTGCATGTTATAAAAATATCGTAGTTTGTCGAGAGGGGTACAGCTCTTCTTTTTTTTTTCTTCATGCTTTGTTTTGCTAAATCCGCCGCACGAAGCGAGCGGCAGAAAACAGTGGCAGGAGGTAAATGGCTCCACTACAATAATATATTCTATTTTAACCTGAGGGCAAAATGTACTTTTCTTTTTATAAATAAAATGAGAACATAACAAGTGCAGCAATAAAACTCTGTTTTTCATGTCCTCACCATTCCGAATATGAAGTCGGGAGGCAGTTTTATGTTGTAGGCTGTTGAATTTTTTTTATTTTTTTTTTTCCCGGCTAGGAAAGTCTGCGCATTGGACAAAATGAATCTAGTTTATGCTCCTTGGTTTGCAGATATAGTATATGACGAGAGACCTTTATGTACTTAAGCAGTGTTATATCCAGCAGTATATCAACCGAACCAAGAGGAATGCCTACTGAGCGCAAACACAGTTTTAAGCTCCCTAAATAAATCCGGCTGCAGAAGTTTGTTAAAGCTCAACTCCGGCCTTCAGACTTGCACAGTTTGTACCAGCTCCTCTCCTGGATTGAAATGGCTTACTCTCAGTTCGTTGTATGCTGTGAGCTTTTTACAATGTGCATTAGAAGCTGCAGCATCCAGGTAGAGCCTGATTCATTTCCTGGCTGAAGGACTTCCAGCATTGGCAAGTTCAGGGGTGGCCAAGCTCGGCACTGCAGCTGTTGTAAAATTACAAATCCCATCATGTTTCTGCCTCTGGGAGTCATCGTCTTGCAATGCCGCATGGGAGTTGTAGTTCAACAGTAGCTGGAGTGCTGAGGTTGTCGATCCCTGATGCAGCTCTTTCCAACCCAGCCTGATGGCCCATTTGGGTGGTACTTAGGGCATTCGGCATTCAAGTGCATCCTTTATATGAATGCCCACTCCTCCAGACTAGCATTCACCCATCAAGGCCTTTGATATTTGCATACCTCCCAAGAGCCAGGGCTGAGCTATGTACAGCACCCTGCCTGCATTGCATAGAGAAGCACAGAAACCCATCACCGGGTCTAACATAAGGAATGTAATGAAAACAGAAAGGTCTAAAAGGACATTTGCACTTTGAT